ACAAATAGGATGGCTAAAAGGAAAAAGGTAACAAAACAAAAAAACAGCTAGATTCCAAGACAAATGTATAAAACTAAAAACAGGAACATGTCTGCATTGGTCCCTGCCAGGAGTCCAACAGATTCTTAAAGACACTTAGAGAGGTCAAAGGTCGAGAGCTTCAAATCTTTTTGTAAGATATTCCAGGAAACAGGAGCGGAGTAGGAGAAGGCCCTTTTGTCTAGTTCAGTCCTCACTGAGGGAACACTGCAGGTAATGATGTCCTGAGAGCGCACGCTGTAGCTGCACTCACACAGAGACATGTAGGAGGAGATGTATGAAGGCAGCAGACCAAGAAGTGATTTAAAGATGAAAATGTACCAGTGGGAGAGTCTGTGTGAAGTTAATGATGTCCAGTTAACCAATGAATACAGAGTGCAGTGGTGGGTACGATAATCACAGCCAGTTATGAATCTTAGTGCACCATGATAGACAGCATCCAACATCTGCAGCATCCAACATCTGCAGCATCCAACATCTGCAGGGTTCTTGTAGGAGCGTTCATGTAAATAATATCACCAAAATCAATTGAGGGAAAGAAAGTCACAGATACAAGGTGTTTTCTAGCATTCAGAGTTAGACAGGATCTGTTTCTGAAAAAGAAACCCAGTTTAACTTTCAGTTACTTTACCAAGTTTTCCACATGGAGCTTAAAAGAAAGATGTGAGTCGACCAAGATACCCAAATATTTATAGGAATCAACAAACTCAATGGGGACACCATTTGAGGATAAAATCAGAGGAAGAACTGCTGGGACCAACTTCCTGTTTGAAAAAAGCATCCCTTTGGTTTTTTTCGGCATTTAGGACAAGTTTGAGATGAAACAAATCAGTCTGGATGATGTTGAATGCAGATTTCAAAAGCTGGAAAGCCTTAGCAACTGTTTTAGCTCGACAATAAACAACTGTGTCATCAGCATAGAAATGTATGGATGCATTAGGGATGTTTTTACCTACATTATGTATGTAGATTGTAAAGAGGGTGGGTCCTAAGACTGAGCCTTGTGTCTGAACCATGGTCAGACAGCTGAAGGTGCCAGGATCCCCCAGCACCTTCAGCTGTCACGAGCTGAGTTTTCCACCAGCTCCAGGATCTCGATGGTCAGGTACTCAGGCACCGCTACCAGGTTGATGGGAATTCATCCACAGCACCTCTTTTTCAACTCTTTTTGGATTTGAGGTTGTAGTTGAGGTATTTGAGATGTTAATCAGCTGCTCCTGGATGTTAAACCTTGTTGCCATGGTTACACATCATAACAAATGCCCAAAAGTAAAAAGGTTTCAGTAAAAATCCTTCCAGCTGCACAGCATCCGACACCAGAGGAAGTAATTATCCAACAAACGCAATCGACTTCCAGAAAAAAGAGGAATTAAAGTTTTCAAAAGCAGCAAGTCAGAATGAAGAGCTGCTCCAACATGCAGGCGCTTGTAGAACAGCGTCAGACAGGAAGTAGCTTTTTCTACCTGAAACCTGTTGGACTGCAAACAGGTGAAACGTCCTCAGGTGGAGATGCCTGTGTTCTATGCAGGTGTTTGGGCAGTAAGACTGAAGTGACCGTGCACATGGTATGGCAGGCTGTTTGAGCATACAATGAGACCATTTTCTGCAGGTCCCAGGAACATTTGAACTAGATGGATCTTAAATTTAAATTATTTTCAAGTAGCCACAAAAAAAGTACTGTGGAGTTCCACTTCCAGGAAGTCCAAGCCTCAGACGATCAAGAGAACAGTGAACACGGCCGTGGTTAACGGCTGGGCTGGTCCCAGTCTGAGCTGGGAGGCTGGATCCTCAAAACAACTCATTTTAGAGGAATTGCATCCATCCATCATCTTTACCCGCTTCTTCCTTTTCGGGTCACTGGTGCCCATGTCCAACTATCACTGTGCGAGATGGGGGACACCTGGACAGGTCTGCAGTCCATCACTGGGACACAGAGACAAATGAAACTACCATTCACTGTCTCACCTAGGGACAATTTAGAGTTAATCAGCCTAACATGCATGTTTTTGATCAGTGGGAGGAAACGAGTACCTGGAGAAAACCCACGCAGCACAGAGAGAACATGCAAACTCCACCCAGAAAGGTCCCCGGACCAGGGTTTGAACAAATACTTCTTTAAAACGTCTTCAGTTGATCCAAAATGCTGCTGCCAGAGTCTTAACTGGAGTTACTGGGAGAGATCATATCTCTCCAGTTTTAGTTTCTCTCCATTGGCTCCCTGTCAAATCCAGAATAGAATTCAAAATCTTACTTCTAACCTACAAAGCTCTCAACAACCTAGCTCCATCTTATATTACAGATCTTATTGTTCCATATTTTCCTAACAGAGCACTTCGCTCTCAGACTGCAGGTTTACTTGTGGTTCCTAGAGTTTCCAAAAACAGAATGGGAGGAAGATCTTCCAGTTCTCAGGCTCCTCTCTTGTGGAACCAAGTTCCAGTTTCTGTCCGTGAGGCTGACACATTGTCCAGTTTAAGACTTTCCTTTTTGATAAATCCTATAGTTAGGGTCGGCTTGTTATGCTGCTATAGACTTAGACTACTAGAGGACAAACTGACCTCATTTCCTTAAATGAATTGTTAAAATTAAATCATTTTCATTTGATACTATTTCTATCTTAACATGTGATTCTTGACCTGCCATTGTGTATCTATTCCTACCAAACCCAGCCGGTCGAAGCAGATGGTCCTCTTGTCCTGATCCTGGTTCTGCTAAAGGTTTCTTCCTCATGAGGGAGTTTTTCTTTCCACTGTCGCCTTCATGCTTGTTCAAGACGAGAGTTCAGTGATGGAGTTAAACTCAAAGATGCTCCTCAGATAAATAATGTTCAATTATTATTTTATAGATGAATGTTTGTGTTAAATTATTATTTTATACATGAATGTTTCTGTTCAGTCCCTGAGACGACTTGAGTGACTTGGAGCTTCAGAAATAAACTGAACTGAAATTAAACCGGGACAACCTGCTTTTTTCTCTCTCTCTCTCTCTGTTCTCCGGTGGAACCAGACGTGTCTCCCTGTCTCTTCCCCTTCCCTGTTTGCACTCTTTTGTCCTGTGAACCCTTAAATAGCCTCTTTGTTTTTTTCTGCATACCTCTTAATTCGAAGGATCAGCGGGTCTCTCAACAAAATTGATCAACTTCTCCCGACAGGAGTCGGGGTAAGGAGGACCCTCTTACCTCGACGGAAACAAATTGGATTCATGATGACAACTGGTTTGTTGCTGTTTGGCTGGTGAATTCTGGGTTGTCTGTAAATTCTTGGGGATGTGTCGAAGCTCAACAGTACTCAGATTGAATTTGTGGAGCTGCAGCAGGGAGCTGGAGCAACTGTTATCAGGACTGTGGTCTCTCTAGCAGCACACATGAAGGTGAACTAATCTTGGAGAAGCTGTGAGCTCGACTTTTGGCGTAAAGGATCAATTCGGCTATTTTGAATTGTGAACTCAACACTCGGGCGCCTTGACGGAATTATTGCCACAGAACTGTCTGTGTTTTAATGCACCGCGGCCATCAGGCCGGCGCGGTGGTGGATTATTAACAATATTCAAATCAACTTTTGACTGTAAACAACTGCCCATCCCAGTTTCCCACGCCAGCTTTGAGCTGAGCGTCTTTGAACTCGGCCATTCGCCTTTGACGTTATTTGCACTCGTCTACCGCCCACCTCTGTCTAAGGATTTTATAAATTAGTTTTCTGACTTCTTGGCTGAAATCACACCAAAATATGATCATGTTTTCATTATTGTGGACTTTAATTTGCACGTGTGCTGTCCTGAGAAGCCCTTGGTTAAGGACGTTTTAGATTTATTGGACTCATTTAATTTAACTCGGCATGTAAACGGTCCCACCCAAGAGCGTGGACATACACTGGACCTTGTTTTAACTCATGATATGACTGTTAATAATCTTGTTATTGGTGATAATGTTTTTTCAGACCACATGCCAGTCCGGTTTGAGTTCACCCTCCCCCATCTAACTCCTAAGTCGTGCATTCCTGCATGTAGCACCCGGACCATTAACCACTTCACTGCCACACATTTCACAGA